ATACAGGATTAAGATTAAAATAACCTTTTAATTGACTAATAAGTTGTATAGGTGAGTTGTTTCTATCTAATAAATTGTTGTATTGATTTTTAAGGGGACCGTTCTTTGATTTTTCTTCTTTAGAAGAAAAAGAAAAAGGGTATAAAGAAAAACCGATGCCAATTAATAAAACAAAGGCATTCAGGTTTGAGATTGAGTATTGCATTAAGTAAAATAGAAAAGCCTGAATAGACTCTAAACTGTTAATACTTAAGGCTAAAAGTATAAAGCCTAGGTGTGATATTGTACTATATGCGAATAGCCTTTTTATTCTAAACTGTGATAGACCTAACACAGTACCTATTATTAAAGATAAAAAGGAGCTAAAGAGTAAGCCGGATGTTCAACTAAAACTAAAGGCGAAATAAAAATTACTAGTATAATGAATTAATTCTAATAAAAAGATAAGTATAGATATTTTAGCTATTATTGCAACAAAAGTTGTTACTATTGTAGGAATAGCATCATACACGTCAGGGCTTCAAAAATGAAACGGTGCGGCGGATATTTTAAATAAGAACCCTACTGACATAATTAAAAGAGATATGTTTAAATATAAAGGTTTATATCAATCCAATATGTTATTTGTATATTCATTGGCTATGCTAGATAAACCGGTTATCACATAGTAACCGTCTAAATTTGTTGTACCAGAGTTTGCATACAATAGACTTGTACCTAGTAATATAAAACAAGAAGATAAACCCCCCAATAAAAAATAAGTAAGACCTGCAGATGTAGCTAGTTCAGAGTTTCTATAAAGTGTGGAAAGTAAATATAAACCATAACTTTGTAACTCTATAGATAGAAAAATAGAAACTATATCACTAGCGGATACTAAAAAAGTACCCCCTATTAATACAAATAATATAATTAAAGGGTATTCAATTATTCTATATTGTTGTCCCATCTTATTAATAATGTTTGTATCATACCTGAAATTTTTAAAAAACAGGTTGTATAAATTAGCATAGTTTCTAACCCAAACCTTTCTACAATAAAAAGCAGTTAATTGTAGGATGGTAGCACTAACAAAAAAGGTAAAAATATGGAAAGTTTGTGTAATAGGTGTAGCATGGAAAAGACCACCGTATAAACCTATACCCTTATCTAAAAAGGATATGTCTAAGCTCTTTAATGCTATCATACAGGTACATAGCAAGATTACTATTGTTTTTCTAGAATATAGTATAGATTTTTCTCGTCTAAAGGTGACGGCATTAGACAACAATAAAAATAAAATGGAATAAAGAATCATTGATTTTTTCTGGGTTCAAACCTATCTTTATAAAGTAATTAAATTATTACTCTTTTCCATTTTATTTTTTCTTCTTCTGCTCTAGCCAAAGCCTATTTTTGATAAACTCTTGTTTTAACTAAATCGTGCTCTGCACATGTTAATAAAAAAAAGCAGAAGAAAAGGGTAAATTGTGTATAAACAGCGTCTAGAAAAAAACATATATAATACATTATACTCAACAATATATCATGTACAGCAAAAGCTAACACATCCAATAGTAACCGTCTAAATTTGTTGTACCAGAGTTTGCATACAATAGACATGTACCTAGTAATATAAAACAAGAAGATAAACCCCCCAATAAAAAATAAGTAAGACCTGCAGATGTAGCTAGTTCAGAGTTTCTATAAAGTGTGGAAAGTAAATATAAACCATAACTTTGTAACTCTATAGATAGAAAAAAAGAAAAAAGCCCCTTTTTGTAGTAAATGTCTTTAAAGGCTATATAGTAATGAGAAGAAAAACAAGAATATACAGTGCTTTTAACTTTGCTATTAATAAAACTACATAAGAAACATGATATGCCCTACTAGTGTTCTTTAATTTAGACGTAAGAGTCTAGAAATATTGCTATTTAAAGCAAAAGCTCAAATTTAGCATTATCACTTGAACTTTAATAATGTCTTTTATCTTTTTTCAAATATGAGCTTAGATTGGCATTTACTTTTCTAACATAATCTGGTTTACCGAGGAACGAACTAAAGCCGTATCCGAAAGTGCTATTTTACCCATCTAATAATTGTTAGGAAAAAGTATTAAAAATAAATTAAACATAATTGTATAAGTTTTAAAAATATGTGGCTTACCATACTTCATTAGTAAAATATAGTATGGTATTTTACTTTGTAATAAGTGTAAGTTATCTGTAGTTTATAATAGTTGATAGTACAAACGCAAAAGCAAGGTATATATAAAAAATAAAAAAAAGAAAGAACATTAAAATACAAAAAATTACTTTTAATAGTAATGCCTTTTAAAAGCTAATTACTTTTTTATTCTTATTTTTCTTTATTTTTTTCTTTTCATTCTTTATTATATCCCCTCTTCTTTTCACTTCATTGTTTATTATATTCCCTTTTCTTTTCTTTATTCTTTTCACTTCATTGTATATTATATTCCCTTTTCTTTTCTTTATTCTTTTTATTATACTCTTTATTATATTCCCTTTTCTTTTCTTTATTTTTTTTATTATACTCTTTTTTATATTCTGGATTCTCTTTATTTCATTGTTTGTCATGTACTCTTTTATATTGTTTACGATTATCTATCCGTTGCCTTTCCAACTCATCCATGTGTTCTTGGACCTCATCCCTGTATTGTTGAGGGAGGTCCTCGTCTATATATGTATATGGTTGGTCAGCCTCAGGCCTATCAGCCCCAGAATTGTCCCCAGCTGCTTCCCCAGCTGCCCCAGCTGCCCATCATTCTGGCCCCCCTTCTGGCCCACCACCAGGGGGGCCAGAGTTAGGATTAGGATTAGGCTTAGAACCACTTAAAACTTCTCTAAGGTTTTTGGTTAGTAAATAATAAGCCTCTAATAAATACCAATCATATATATTATAAAGTTCTTGACCAAGCAATACCAAAGGTACAGTCAAGCATATTAAGAAGATTACATTCTTTTTAAAAAAAGCTCTAGACTTGTATATATAAATGATACAAAGCAATAATAAGAGAATTCTGACACTTAGTAAAAAGAATGGAAAAGGGATAATATATATATATATAAAACAAAAACATAATATGTTTAAAACATTACATATAATGAAACGCTCCATATCAAACACTAACATATCTAGTAGAATAAAAAGTCCCTTTTCATAGTAGGTGCTCTGAAGGGTTATATAATAAGGAGTACTACTAAATGTAGAAAAGATAGCACTTTTAATTTTACTAAACACAGCAGCTAATAAAACACTTTCAGGTGACATAATTAAGCTAACAGATAATATACCTAGAATAACTAAACAGGATAAATATACTACTATATCAGCAAGTAGATCATAAATAAAATCATTCCTTGAGTAAGGTTTTATGATTGTAAAGTGTCTTGCTTTACTAATATAGTAAAAATCACCAATATAATGAATTAAATCTAATAAAAGCATAAGTATCAAAAAAAGACACGGACCAAAAAATGTTAAACCTAAAACATATGTAATAATAAAAGATAAAAATGAGATTAAAAGGAAACAGGACAGTAAGCCTAATATGATTTGCCTGGAATATAGTATAGATTTTTCGCGTCTAAAATTGACGGCATTAGATATTAATAAAAATAAAATAGAAGAAAGTATCATTGGTTTTGTAGGATTCAAACCTACCCATTTTTGTCTAATTATACAAAAAGGGTAAAAAAGAGGTTATTAAATAACCGAATATTATCAATATATATATGTCTTTTAAAGAGACATAAGGTATTAGTATGTATAATATTAAACCAATTATAATATACAATGCATGGAAGGACATGGAAGGACATGGAAGGACATAGAATGTGCCCATAATTTATGTTTCATTTATAAAAACTAAACTGATAAACGACCAGTTAATAAAAAATTGTTACATGTCAAATATAACAAAAAACTAAACAAAGATTGCATTAAATGCTAGCCGGGAGAGAAACTCGAATTCCCATTATTAATGCATGAAATTAACGTTTTAGCCAGTTGAACTATCATTTTTTTTTTTTAATTTACTTTACTCTCTTAATCATGTACTTACCTTTAAACAACTTATCTTTATTTATGTAATTTAATAATGTAGCATGGTTTACTTTCAATTCTCTGGCAGCAGTGCGAATATAACTATATTTTTTAGTATCGTTTGTTTCAATATTTTTAAGGGTAACGATATGAGATGTGGACAGCGATTGGTTGGTTTTAGCTAAAGGAGATAATACTGCACCTACTCTTGCTTTTCTCAAATTATATAAAGCTTTATCGCTCAACTTACGCGATTTAAATTTAAATAATGTTTCTTCATAATGTTTAAAATGTAAACTAGATCCTGCTGTAGTGAATATGTTATCTTCAGGTTTAAAATAATCAATATTAAATTGCTCTCTTTTAATAACATCAGATCTAGCACAAACTTCTAATCTCTCCAGTTGGAAATTCTCATGTCCGTGAGCCAGCAGAGCATTGTAAATTTTTCTTTTATATTTTGAGGTTCTTGTAGCTAAGTAATTTAAAGAAAAATAATTGCGGAATCGTGAGCTTAAGCTAAATGAGCTTCCTACGTAACATTTACCGTTTATTTTATTAACTCACCTATAGACTCCACATCTTTGTTTCTTGGCTTGTAATATCTTATTTTTATTACTTAACGCGTCATCGTATATTATAATATTATTGGAATCAGAATTTTGCTTTTTTTAGATTTGTCTCGAAATATTTCGGCTTTTGAAATGTATATTGTTTAGTGTGTTTTTTATCATGAGCCAGAGGAGAAATTCGAATTCTCGTACTTAACGCATGAAATTAATGTTCTAACCTTTTGAACTACTCGGGCTTTAAATTTAGCATTACTAAACGTTTATAAATGAAAGAAAAAAGCGTTTGAACTGCTTTAATTTTTAGTTAAGCTTAGGTATTTTAACTGATTTGATGCCATGTTTCACTTGCTTGTGAAACATGGCATGCAACTATCTAAAAAGAAGGGTGGATACCCTGGCTTGAACAGGGAACTCACTGTTCCACATACAGTTGCTCTACCAATTGAACTATAACCACCTATATTATTTCTTTGTTAAAGATGTCCTATAAAAATAAAAACAGAGAATTTAACTTTATGTTGGAGTGATTTGAACACTCAATAATAAATACCAAAAATTCGTGACTTACCGATTAGTCTACAACATATATGAATGCAGCAATAATATAAGTAAAATCTTCTAGTTGTTTTTGTTGTGGAGTTGCTTATGTTGCTTTTTTTCTTCATTTTCTGATGCCATGGCATCAGTATCACATTAAAGCTTAAAATATTGATCACGTAAGGTAGATCCGACTTGAACGGACAAGATTTATAAATCAAATAGTCCTAAGCTATTCATGTATACCAATTCCATCACTACCCTTTTTTTAATGTATGATTATATAACACTTTACGATAATTATAATATTAGGATAAGCAATTAGCCGTATACCGGTTATATATCCAGTATGCCTATGTATGCCCAAGATAAGATTCGAACTTATAGCCTAAACATCTTCAGAGTTCCGCTCTACCAATTGAGCTTCTTAGGCTATGTTTTGCTTGTGAAGCAGAACATCATACTTATCTTTACATAATAAAATATGCATTAAGGTATAACTAAAACTATACATTACAAAAAGATACACTTAATTTAGCATTGGAGACAGCGGGGGTCGAACCCGAATTAACGATGTGCAAAGTAGACGTTTTACCAATTAAACTATATCCCCTACATTGCTTGCTGCTAAAATCAGGGGAATTGATCATGTTGCTATAATTATTGTTGCTATGATTATTGTCTTTCATTGTATCCAAGAGATGACTTAAACGTCTAGGATATTATACCAGCTTGCATATTGCTCTGCCTGATTTCCTCCTCACTTACATGCGCTTTTTTTACCTCCAACGAGGAACGAAGGTAAAAAGAGCAATTGATGAAAAGCTTTGCATCAAAAGATGAATGAGAGAAAAAGCAATAAGGTACTTTTGCCTTACCAAGTTAAGTAAGCTTTTTCTTTTTTCGTGATATATTAGGACTCAAATAAATAGAAAAATGCAAGCTGTTTTACCAATTAAACTATTTTTTACCCAACTATGGTATTTTTTTTTACTAACGGTGTATTATTTACCTATCTAAAAATTATGTTTTCTAATGTATTTAGCCACAACAGAAGGATGTACTCCTATATACTCTGCCGCTCTTCTAATAGATAATAACTCTTTATCCTCACGGGTATTATTGTCTGTAATAATTACACCTTGTGATTTAGGACAAGAGGCCAGCATCTTTGCTTTTGACACATAAAGATGGGTACGTCCTAGGTTATTTAACCGCATAATATCTTTAGTAGCCTCAGTATGTTTTAAACCTAAATTAGAAAAAGCAAATTTACGAATATTATATTCAGGTTTAAAGAGATCCAGGTAATATTGTTCTCTTTCAGTGAGAGCAGTAACATCACAATACTTAAGAATGTCTAAACTAAAGCCGGAAGATCCGTGCTTTAAAATGGCTCTATGTATTAGACTTTTCTTTATCTTAAATTCTCCTTCTAAATAGGATATCTTAAAGTAGTTTTTTAGCCTAGCCTTTAAATCTACAGATGAACCAACATAGGATTTACCTGACTCCCTACTAGTTCATCTGTAAACACCTGTTTTTCCTTGATTCTGATTTAAGATATCAAGCTTCTGGGTATCCGAATTTAAATAAGTAGCTGCGGGGACAACAATTTTGCCTTCAGTAGCAAAGCACGGACTATTAATGTTGCTAAGATCAGTGGAATTATTGTTGCTGCTAAGATCAGTGGGATTGTTGCTAGGATCAGTGAAGTCATTGTTGCTAAGATCAGTGGTATTCTCGTTGCTACTAAGATCAGGGGAATTATTACTGTTACTATGTTTATTGTTATTTAAATTGTTGTCTTCCATGTATCCGAGAGACGACTTGAACGTCTATGATATTATATCAGCTAAGCTTAAGTTAGCTCTGTAAACCAATTCCAGCACTCGGACTTCTCTTTGTAAAGAACCATACAAATATACTTGCAGTGTTAAGGCCAGAATGATTCGAACACTCATCTGAGCTGTCATGAGCAGCTTGCTTTACCTATTACGCTATAGCCTTTTTAGGCTTTTTTTTTTCTTGCTTGTGAATGCGAAGCATCATGGCAGAGCAAAAAATTTGCAACAAACAGTTTTCATTGCGAAGCAGTCTGAATGATGCACTTTTTTATTTAGAAAAAAAGCAACACAAGTAATAGTGGTATATTTGGTAAATGTACTAAAAGCACAAAAAAACAACCATAAGATAGTTGAGTGCTTATCTGTGTTTTTAACTATCTATAATTGCATCAGGTATAATATAAGTTTGTATGTATAAAATTAAACACTATCTGTGAAATCGTCTAGATTTGCTTAATAAATGTAACATACACCAAAAAGCCAATATGCGGATAAAGGATTCGCACCCCTATAGACTGGTTATGAGCTAGTTATGTTACTATTACATTAATCCGCATGTATTATAGAACATAACACTCAGTTTGTTAGTGAAACAACTGTATAGCCCAGACGGGAATCGAACCCGTGCTATAATGGTGAAAACATTATGTCTTAACCATTTGACCACTGGGCCTAAAATACGACCAGCAAGGTACTTTCTAAAACAATAAAGTAAGCCCAGTGCAAGTATCGCACTTACTTCTACCGATTACAAAACGGTTGCATTACTTTTATGCTAACCAGGCATTATACTCGTATTTAATTAGAGATAAGTTAAGATTAGATCTTAAATCCAAATATATAAACAGCAATCTTCAGATAAGCGTATTATTTAGTAGGTTATAAAATTAGTACCTAACGCCTAAGAACATCACAATTCTTTAAACTTAGACCTATTAATTAATATCCTGCTTTAATCTTCAGTCATATATATTTCTTAAATTCCGGTGTGTTTTCTTTGAGAGAGATAAACACGAAATTAATATCATATTTAGACTTAAAAAGAAAAAGGACCTAAAATCGTAGTATTAAACTACATATATTTAAGAATATCCTAAGGTATGTTTCGTGCCTATATGCATTCAGCACTTATCATTAACTAACGTAGCCTTCCTGCCGTGCCTATCCTTTTATTCTTTATTTTAGTGAAAAATAAAATACCAGTGTAAGTCATAGTACTTAGCGAGTTTCACACTTAGCTCTAAACTTACAGATCACAGCTATAAAAGACATTAGGGTCCTATTAAAACTATATTAATATAGAAAGATAAACAACAGGTAAACCATAGGTTAATATACCCAACTCCTTTCGTACAAGGGGCTATCCTTATTTTATTCTAACTTCCTCTAGAAGATAGAAACCATACTGTCTCACGACGTATTTAACCCAGCTCGTGTAGCTCTTTAATCGACGAACAGTCGAACCCTTCATGACTCCTGCATTCATGTGGATGAGCTAAGCCGACATCGAGGTGCCAAACTCCGCACTCAATTTGAACTCTCTGGCGCAATTAGCCTGTTATCCCTAGCGTAGCTTTTTCAATAATCCAAGACCTTTCCTTTCTGCATCTTGTGATCATATGCCCCGCTTACGCGACTGAAAGACGTGTGAGTCAAACAGTAAAGCAAGATTAAGCCGTTAAACTTGATAAGTATAGTAATTACCATTTAACCAGATATCTCTAAAACAGAGATAATTCTTATTCTTCTCCTGGTGGATATACTGGTAAACAATAAAAATCATTATTTAATCTTTCTCATTCTCTTATGTTTATTTGGTGCCAGTTACCGGGCCTTTTGCTATATACATCTTACTAACTTATGTATACTTATTTAGTAATAAAGTTATTTCTGGGCTCATTGCATGATGCTGATAACAAAGGCATAACGATTTAATTACATCTATATTTTAAAATAGTGAAAATCTTACTTATTTAAAAAAAAAAAGTTCCAACTTACATGGATATATAACTGAATTAGCAATAAAATATTAAAAAAAATATTAAAATAACACCAACTTCAGACTAAAAATAAAAAACATGTAGGCCATTTTTCTTATCAAAAAAGATGAAAAAAGCCTGTACATATTTAATTGCATATTGCGATTTTAAATATATAAATTTGGATACTCCCAGGTACTTTTTATGGGATCTGTGCCCCGCATAAACTGCCACCTAGCAATTGTTCCTTCCCTGGTAAGGTTTATATAATATGATCAATGAAGTAAAGGTGTTTCAATTTTATCTCACCAATTACCTTATACACTAAAACTATTTATATCATATTCGGTAACTAGCAACAGTAAAGCTGCATAGGGTCTTCTCGTCTAACTAGAGGTAAACTGTATCTGCACAGTTATTCCAATTTCACCGAGCCAATCATTGAGACAGCTGTTGTATCGTTACATCATTCCGTTATAATATTTGCCATAGGTTACTACCCTTAGGCTAGGATTATTATATTAACTTTAATTTTGGGTTACTTTAATTTTCTACCAAAAGCCACTTTCATGGTGACTAGAGCGCACCTTAAATATGTAAAAACTATTAACATACCAAGAAGCATCCGCTCGTTGCTCTTTTACACAATATTTCTTGTGACTTAGATCCGCGATTACCCATTATATTTTCATATATCTTTTTTGATGTTACTATACCTTAATGATTAGTTAAGCCAGATATAACTTTTCAGTCATACTTTAGTTAAAAAAGCTTTAGGGCTTTTCCGGAGTTTGCCTCTTTATTTTGCACAAAACATCATATTTCCTAAGTACAATGCTCCCTACATATTTATAATTTTATTTTCATTTGCAAATATAGCCATTATAAGCAATTCCTGAATCTATTCGTCTATACAACGTGGTCTTATTAGCAGGTTTTATAGTCTTTAGATAGATCACACAATTTTTAATGCTATTAAATTCCAACGTATTATTATCTTTTACAGATATTAACACTACAGGTCTGTTATTCATTTCTAATCTGTCATTATCTAACATATTGTTTATCTCTACTAGACTCATGTTAGTTATAAG